AGAAAAAGATTAATTAAAGCCATCTTTAATAAAGAAAAACAACAAGTAATACCTTGAGAGAACAGACTGCTCACATTCTAGAAGCTCTCAGGCAGTGCTCACTTTGAATGTCTTAAGACTGGGAAAGTGGGCCTCCTTTGTGGCGCAAGGGGTTAAGACGCAACCTATGAAGTTGTCCTGTCCGCAGCCTCTGTCGCACGAGTTCAATCCCCAGCCGACCAGGGAGCAACCCAGACAAAGCAGACCTCTCCTGTCTCACCCGCTGCTCCGCTCAGCAGTGTACTTTGGTCAATCTGCCTGTTCTGTTCCCCACTCTGTCTCTGGTGAATCTTCTCACCCCCAACACCGCTGGCCTCTACCCCAGCTCTTGTATGCATAAATAAATAATCTTTAAAAAAAAAAAAAAAAAAAGACTGGCTCTTTCCCGACTCCATCTTCGTGGCAGCGGCAGCTGTGACCGCGCTCAGTTGCCGACATGCAGCTCTTTGTCCGCACCCAGGAGCTCCACACCTTCGAGGTGACCGGCTGGGAGACAGTCTCCCAGATCAAGGCTCAGGTAGCCTTGCTGGAGGGCATCACCCCAGAAGACCAAGTCGTGCTCCTGGCAGGCACTCCCCTTGAGGATAAGGCAACCCTAGGCCAGTGTGGTAGAGGCCCTGACCACTCTGGAAGTAGCCGGCTGCATGCTAGGAGGTAAAGTCCATGGTTCTCTGGCCTGTGCTGGGAAAGTGAGAGGTCAGACTCCGAATGTGGCCAAACAGGAGAAGAAGAAGAAGAAGACTGGGCGGGCCAAGCGGCGGATGCAATACAATCGGCGCTTTGTCAATGTCGTGCCCACCTTTGGCAAGAAGAAAGGCCCCAATGCCAACTCTTAAGTTTTTGTAACCTTGGCTTCTCTAATAAAGCCATTCCATCCAGTCAAAAAAAAAAAAAGACTGGGAAAGTGAATTCATGTGCATTAGGATTAAACTGAGGCCTGGCCTAGACTTACAACTGTCTTCTCTTGTTTCCTCTTCAGAGAATACACGTTAGATGTGTACAGACTTTCCTCCGTGGTCACACAGCATGATGCCAAGAAAGCTGGAGCTGAGGTGGTCAAGCAGGTGGAGCACCCCTTGCTGAGTGGTCTGCTCTACCCTGGACTGCAGGTACCGGGGCAGGGCAGGGGATTGGGGAGGGGGGTAGTACTGTTGCCCTGTCATCCCTTCTGCTCTATTTTTAAATACTAGTTACAAAACTCTCCCAACACCGCTTAGAATGATGTCCTTGCTGTTCCTTCTCCACACTATAGGTATTCCTTCCTGTCTCCCTTCTCTCACCAATTTCCTGGAACATTCTTTGACTTCTTTGGTTTTAAGCCCTCCCCTACCTCTCTGTCCTTTATGACACTACTCATCTCATACGTTATCTTTTTGTGACTCATATTGTCTTTTTTTTTTTTTTTTTAAGATTTATTTTTATTTATTTATTTATACAAGCACTGGGTACAGTCAGAAGTGCAGGAGGGTGAGAGAATTCACCAGAGCCAGAGCGGGGAGCAGAACAGGCAGAAGGACCGAAGTACACTGCTGAGGGGAGCAGCGTGCAGCAGGAGAGGTCTGCATTCCATGTGGGACCCTCCTCCCATAGCTGGGGAGCAGCTGGGGATCAAACTGGCGCCGCGGAGGCTGTGGGCAGCTTCGCAACCCAGCGCTCAACCTCTGCGCCACCGGGGAGGCCCTTTTTGTGACTCATATTGTCTTAAAGAAAATTAATTTCAAAGTGAAGTATGAAAATAGGTTTTAGATATGATCCTATTTTCCAGTAAACAAATGGAAGGCGGAAAAATGCAAACCAAGCTGTTCATATTGGTTACCTCAGGAAGACAGGATGAAAATGTAGATAGACGTCACTTTTTCTTCAAATATTTTTATAATTTTTTTTTTTAGAACTAAATGTCTTTTTTTTTTTTTTTTTAAGATTTATTTATTTATACAAGCACTGGGTACAGTCAGAAGCGCGGGAGGGTGAGAGAATTCACCAGAGCCAGAGCAGAGAGCAGAACAGACAGACCGACGAAATACACTGCTGAGGGGAGCAGCGGGCGGCAGGAGAGGTCTGCGAGCCATGTGGGACCCTCGCTGGCGGCCAGGGATCGAACCTGCGCTGCAGAGGCTGTGGGCAGCCTCGCATCCCAGCGCTCAAACACTGAACCACTGGGGAGGCCCTATTTTTATAATGTTTGACATAAGGAAATCAAGTCTTCCCTTGTTACCTCTAAGTGTTTTGTCCAAAGGTCATACCTAGAGACATTCTAGATCTGCACTGTCCAATATGGTGGCTTCTAGTCATAGCCATGTAGCTACTAAAAATTATTAAAATAAAAAATTTTAAGTTCTTCAGTCACATTGGCTGTATTTTAAGTTCCTCACAGCCACATGTGGCTAGTGGCTAACTTATTAGACAGCAGATATATGGAACATTTTCATCAAAAATATCCATAAGTTCTATTGGACAATGCTAGTCTAGATTCTTCCTGCATGCCTCACCTTTCTCTTCCTCTCTTTACCCTCATCCACTCAGATACTACATTTTATCAGTTCTACTTCTTAAAAGTTTCTTAAGTTCATTCTTTCTTTACAACTCCACTGACTTGGTTCATCACTGTTTTTTACTTGGTCTCTTGGGCCTTGGCCCTCTAACTGTATTCTTTGTCTACAACCCACAGGACTCCACTCCCATGCCCTACCATCACTCATGAGCTCTTTCTCCTTATAGCCATTTACTGTCCAAGATAATGCTAGGCACCTAGTGTGACAACAGGGTTCTTCTCTACCTTTCTAATCTTATCATTAACCACTTCCTGCACTCCTTCAAGTCTGTGCTTTTACAGACTGAATCACTCATAATTTCCCCAAATACTTCACACCTCTGTGCCATCTCACATTCTGTTTGCTCTGCACGATGGAAAACATCTACATATTCTTCAAAACCAAACCAAACCCACAATCTGATTCTAGAAAGCCTCCACCACCCCTGTCTGACCAGCTAGAGGTAGCTGTTTCTTTCTGTGTATTAGCACTGTTCCTTGAGTGGACATCTAGATGGCCCTTGGAGCATAGTATTGATATTGTCCATTTGCCTGCCTCCTTATCCTCAACTGGAAATTGGCTTCTTGAAGGCAGTGTCTGGGTCTGAGTCATCTCTGCATCCAAAGGGCTAGCACTGATGCCTGGCACTTAATAAGTGACAGTAAGTTTTTACTGGTTCAATCTTGCCTTTTTTCCTAAGCTTTAGTCTTAATGCCATTTACTTGCCATTTGCCACAGGCTGCCTCATTCAGTGGGTACCTTTGATGAAGGTTTGTCTCCTTCCTTCCCTTCCTCACTGAACCATGAGCTTTCTGAGGGCAGAAACTTTTTTTTAAAAAAATCTGATGTCCACACGGAGTATTGTTCACTGCGGGCACTCAGTGCAAGAATTACGCAGCTCTTGAGGCCAAGCAGGGAGACTGAGTGATGCTAATATGCTTCAGACTCTACCTTCTGAAAAATCTAGTGGCTTTCAAAAGTTTCTGATTTTTCAGACCCATCTAAAAGAAATGCAATAGGGCCTCCCTGGTGGCGCAAGGGGTTAAGCACTGCACTATGAAGCAATCAGCAGCCTCTGCAGCACAAGTTCAATCCCTGGCTGGCCAGGGAGCAACCCACATGGCGCAGCAGACCTCTCCTGAGTCTTCCGCTGCTCCTCTCAGCAGTGTATTTCAGTCAGTCTGCCTGTTCTGTTCCCCACTCTGTCTCTGGTGAATCCTCTCACCCCCTGCATCTCTGGTCTATACCCCAGCTCTTATATGCATAAATAAATAAATCTTAAAAAAAAATTAAAAAAAAAAGAAATGCAATAGAGTTTATGTCCATGTGTTTCTTCCCACAGGCCTTGGATGAGGAGTATTTGAAAGTAGATGCCCAATTTGGAGGCATTGATCAGAGAAAGATTTTCACCTTTGCAGAGAAGGTTAGTGTTTTCTTTACTATCTTTTTACTTTTGGGCCTCAGAGGTATGCAATTAAAGTTTTCTGAATTGTGGGCCTCCCTGGTGGCGCAAGGGGTTAAAAGCACTGCACTATGAAGCAGTCTGCAGCCTCTGCAGCACAAGTTCGATCCCCGGCCAGCTAGGGAGAAACCCACATGGCGAGGCAGACCTCTCCTGTCTTGCCCGTTGCTTCCCTCAGCAGTGTATTTCAGTCAGTCTGCCTATTCTGTTCCCCACTCTGTCTCTGGTGGATCCTCTCACCCCCCGCATCTCTGGCCTGTACCCCAACTTTGTATGCATAAATAAATAAATCTTTAAAAAAAATAAAAAATAATAAAGTTTTTTGAATTGGGCCAGTGCCTCTAATCATAACCATATTGTCGGGTAGGTGGCATTCTCTTTATTTTGCAGATAAGAATCCTGAGGTAGGAAAAATAAGAAAATGGTCCAGAATCACAGTTAGTGATGGAGCAAGAACTGGCATTCAAATCTGTCTGACTCAAAACCTTTTGCTGCCACCCCAGACCTCAGGATTTGCTTCTTTCCTCATAGCTGAGTTTCTAGGAAAGACACCACTGGTTAGAATACTGTTCTCTTGCAGAGCATTTGCCCTGTATTGCTCTAGATTTTATGTAGAATACTCATCTCTGCCGTGAGGCTTAACAAGATTTATAGGAGGAAATCAGTACAAACCTGTAAATCTTTCCCTTTTCTGGGAAAGAACTTGAGTAAGTTGAAAAGGGCTATTGAGAAGTGGTAGGTATTTTTGAAAGCTTCTCAGAACCTCATATTGGCACGGGTTGATGAGAATATTATTTTGTGGAGGGTGATTTGACAACCCTAAAATAATTCTACCCTTTGCTGTAATAAGTATACATATTTGTCCTAAGGAAATAATTTTATTTTATTATTATTTTTATTTCTTTTTAAGATTTATTTATTTACGCATACAAGAGCTGGGATACAGGCCAGAGGTGGTGGGGGGGTGAGAGGATTCACCAGAGACAGAGTGGGGAACAGAACAGGCAGACTGACTGAAGTACACTGCTGAGGGGAGAAGTGGGCGAGACAAGAGAGGTCTGCTTTGCCATGTGGGTTGCTCCCTTAAAAAAAAAAAAAAGAGTATCACATCAATTTAAAACAAAAGTTGGGAAGTAAGTTTATATCCAATGACAGGAGATTGGTTAAAAGCATTATGTATAAATCCTCACGATGCTATATTATGTAGTATTTTAATTGGTTTTGAATATATAATGAACAAGGAAACGCAAGGTAATATTTTTGTTAAATATTTCTTCTAATTCCATTTTGTGTCTTCTGTTAACTTTTTAATTGAACCTTTTCTTTCTAGTAAACATATGATCCATGTCTTGTTTTTGTTTGACTCACAAGCTGTAAGAATGGTTTTTATTATTTTTTTTAAGGGCTCTACAAAAATGACGAATGTGTTTATTGAGACCACGTGTGACCCACAACGCCATTTAGACTATTTAAAGAAATGTTAATTACCCCGCCCTAGAGATTGCATCTGTCACTGTAATTTATTACAGTTTAAGTTAGATGTTTTTACCACTTCTCAACAATGCAAGAGACTATAACAATTTTCTTCCACCTAACTCTTTCCTGGCCTTTGTACTATTGCTGTCATATATTTCACTTTTACATACATTTTTAAGTCCTGAAGAGTTTTTTTACAGCAATTTTCATGTATACTCTTCCCTTCTTACCCTTCCTTATGTTTTTGATTCCTTCCCACAGTCCTGTTCTGTGTGTCCATCTGGCTTCATTTTCCTTTAGCCTAAAGTCGTCCCCCTTAGTATTTTGTATTTTTAGTGCTGTTGCAACTTTATCATTTCTCTGGCTGCTTTTAAGATTTTTTTTCTTTGTCTCTGATTTTGAGCAATTTGAGTATGATGTTTTTAGCTGTTGTGTTATTTAACCTGCTTGGATTTAGCTGAGCTTCTTGAGTCTGTGAATTGATGTTTGTATCAAATTTGGAAAATTGTCCCTTATTATTTTATTTTATTAAGATTTATTTTATTTATGCATACAAGAGCTGGGGTACAGGCCAGAGATGCGGGGGGGGGGTGAGAGGATTCACCAGAGACAAAGCGGGGAGCAGAACAGGCAGATGGACTGAGGGGAGCAGCGGGCGAGTCAGGAGAGGTCTTTTGCACCATGTGGGTTTCTCCCTGGCCGGCCAGGGATCGAACTTGTGCTGTAGAGGCTGTGGATTGCTTCATAGTCCCTTAATCCCTTGCACCACCAGGGAGGCCTATCCCTTATTTTATTTTTTTTTTTTTTAAAGATTTATTTATTTATTTATTTATTTATACAAGCACTGGGTACAGTCAGAAGCGCGGGAGGGTGAGAGAATTCACCAGAGCCAGAGCAGGGAGCAGAGCAGGCAGAAGGACCGAAGTACACTGCTGAGGGGAGCAGCGGGCGGCAGGAGAGGTCTGCGCGCCATGTGGGACCCTCCTCCGGTGGCCGGGGAGCAGCCGGGGATTGAACCAGTGCTGCAGAGACTGCGGGCAGCTTCGCAACCCAGCGCTCAACTGCTGCGCCACCGGGGAGGCCCTATCCCTTATTTTTTTATATGGTTCTTCTGTCTATTCTTTCCTCTCCTGAGACTCTAATTACATATAAGTTAGACCTTTTGGTCTTGTCCCTCGTGTCTCCTTTTTTTGTGTGTGTGACCCTCGCCGGCGGCCCGGGAATAAACCAGCGCTGCAGAGGCTGCGGGAAGCCTCTCAGCCCAGCGCTCAACCGCTGCCCCACCAGGGGAGGCCCTCTCCTTTTTTGTTCTGTTTTCCTTGCTTTGTTCCCTCTGTCCTTTTGTTTGAATATTCTATCTTGACTTTTCTTCAATTTTATTAATCTTGTCTTAAAGCCACCCAACATTGTGTTGAGTGATTTTAGAGCTTCTATGTGGTTCTTTTTGTAGATTCAGTTCTCTTTTATAATTCCCTATCTCTTACCCATTTTTGTCCATCTTTTCCTCTCTTTTCTTTAATACACCAACCATAGTTATTTTGACATCTTGAGTTGATTATTTTCATACCTGAATTGTTTCTGGTTCCACTTTCATTTTCTGTTTTTTCTTGACTATCTGTCACTTTTTTTTTTCCCTGCTTCCCATTCCTAGTATTTTTTCTTTTTTAGATTTATTTATTTTATACAATAACTGGGGTATAGGTCAGAGGCACAGGAGGGTGAAAGAATTCACCAGACACAGAGAGGGAGCAGAACAGGCAGACAGACCGAAATACACTGCTGAGGGGAGCAGCGGGCAAGGTAGAAGAGGTCTGCCACGCCAAGTGGTTTTCTCCCTGGCTGGCCAGGAATCAAACCCGCACTGCAGAGGCTGCGGACAGCTTCACAGAACAGCGCTCAACCCGCTACACCACCGGGGAGGGCCCCTAGTATTTTTTATTGTATCATGGACATTGGGATATGTTGTAGAGGCTCTGGATTATGTTTATAAAGTGCTGTTTTTTTCTGTCAAATTACTGACTGATCACCTGATCCTTTCAGGGATCGGCTTTAGGCTCTTTTAGAACAAATCTTACTCCTATGATCCAACCTTTCTGAGGTCTCAAGCTGAAATCTAAGAGTGGTCATAAATTTCTTTCTCCTTTCTTTGGACCTAAACTTCCACCTCTGTCTCCCCAGCATGTCCAGCATCTGTGATCTCTGCTCATGTCCCCAGTCTCCCAGAGACTCCCTGTCAGGAAGCTCAGCTCTCTGGAGTCTTTCTGTGTGCATGTGTGGTGTGAGATAGTCAAGAAATAAGTGGAGAATTTTGACTTGGACTTTTGAGGGGTCTTCCTTCTCTCTAGTATCCTCCCCAAATCCTAGCCTGCTGGCAGCCCTCAGCTCCAGTCTGTCTCTTCTAGTCAGACTGCTGTTCTCTGCTTGGTCTCTTTTCCTTAATTTTTTTGGGGGAAATGATCCCCTCAAGGAGAGAACCATAGAAAGTGTGGAGTCTTCTCTGCTTCCCTCCTCTCAAGATTTTTAGCCCTTTACTAGTTGCTATCTAATGCCTGCAAATGGTCATTTTATATATTTCCATCTTTTATAGTTGTTTGTTGTTGGACCATAAGTTCAGTAGCCTCACATTGTAATACAGTTTAAAAGCAGTAGGGAAAAAATCTTCATATATAATCACCATTGAAAAGTTATATATTCTATAGAAAAAAGATTGGAAGAAATATATCAGACTACTAATTCACTGGCCAAATAGGATGAGATTGGTGTACTAAGGAAGAATTTATACTAATATCTGCTTGTGTGTGTTTCTTTCTAACCCCGTAGTATCTCCCTGCACTTGGCTACTCAAAACGTATCCATCTGATGAACCCTATGGTTCCAGGATTAACTGGCAGCAAAATGAGCTCTTCAGAAGAGGTAGGTTGCCAACTTTGACTTGAGTTTAGAAATCAACAAGAGATGGGGGAATTGAGGACTCAAATGCACAGTCATCTAACTAGAATTCTCAAATATTTGAGTTACAAAGAATCTTCTGTCATTTGGCTAATTCCAGAGGTGTTGAATACTAAAGACCCCAAGAGCAGTCCTGATAGAATCAATTCATAATGTTAATGGTAAAAAGTACAAAAAGAAGTAATTTCTTCAGTCTTAGAATTGCGATAAAATTCAGCCTTAATGAAAAGGCCATGGTTGCATTTCATCTATTAACATCTTGACTCTTAGGGTTAAGTTTGGTATGACTAATATAAGTGTGGTATCTTTTAACATTTAAAAGTCCTCCTTAGCACTTTCGTTCTGATCACTAAGGGCACACAATAAAGGAATTAGTGAACCCAAAGATGTGAAATTTTGAGTTCTTGGTTCCCAAACATTTCTGATCTTCAGAATCATCTAGGAATTTAAGGAAAAAGAAAAAAAATTGAGTTGATTAGACCTTGTTCTTAGAGATTCTGATCCAGTGGCTCCAGGAAACAACTCAGAAATCTATATTTTCTTTCAAATTTTAGGAGGTGGTGATTGAAGTCATGTTTGGGCTCTCTTCTAGTTCTAGCTAGTCTGACTTCTCAATCTTTGTCTCATGAGAGATTGGTAAATATTAATATATTGCATTATTAATATACCATTATTAATAAACTATTATTGTTATTTTTAAAGCAATATATTCATTCCTTATTCTCTCCCATTAAAATACTGTTATGAGAGTTATTTCTCTGACAAGGTATCATATCACTGTATCCTATTTGATGATACTCAGCATATCTTAACCCTGGAAATCAGTGCTGGCTGCAGTTCCCAAACATGACAGCAGCAGAATCACTATTTTTAAAAATACGAATGCCTGGGCCAAGCCCAGGAGATTTTGATTCACTGGGCTTGGGTGGAACACCCAAATTTATTTTTTTTATGAGCACCCACGTGATTCACATACAGTCATACGTGGACCAGAATTTGGTAACCACTAAACTCAAATAAGCTTGAATTTCCTTGCTCAAAAAAAACAGCAGCCAAAAAAAAAAACCTATTACCCCTAAAAAGGAAATATTACTCAGATAGCATAATACCTCCTGTTGATGATTTCTGTGAAACAGGTATCCTCACACATTGCCAATAGTAATGTCAATTCGTATATCCCCTTCAGAGAACAATTTTGGGCCTAGCAATTTTGGGTAGCTTAAGGGAACAATCATAGACAAAGAAGGCAGGAAATCTGAAAGATGTACTGTATATACATATGCTAATATATATTGTATATATTATGTATTTTTATAATTTGTAAAAATCAGAACATAATTTAATGGTTTAGAAATTGTTGATTATGTTTCACTAATAATTGGGAATATAGTACAGAATAAAAATTATCCTTAAGGACTAGGTACGCACTCAGAAATACTCGTGAAAACACACAGGATAGACCCCAGGCCTGAGGAGAACACAGGAGAAAATAGCTTTTCAGTTGGGTAACAATATTGTGAGTGGTTCTTCACTCTGACTTACTCTGCTTTTGTAATGAGTTGGGCATATTCTCATTTCCAACCACAAGAGGTCCTCTTCTTGTCCATTCACAACTAGGAGTCCAAGATTGATCTCCTTGATCGGAAAGAAGATGTAAAGAAAAAACTGAAGAAGGCTTTTTGTGAGCCAGGGAATGTGGAAAACAATGGGGTTCTGTCCTTCATCAAACATGTCCTCTTTCCCCTCAAATCTGGTAAGACACTCAACTGTTTTCTTCTTGGGGTGCCAGATTGAAAGAGCAAAGCCACTGCTGTGATCACACTGGAGATTTGTCACAATCTTCCTCCAGGGACTGCCTTCCTTGAGTCTGCTGTGATTTCCATATATTAAAGTGTGGTTGGGATTGAGATATCATTTAGTTGTCCACATGTTTGTTACCAGGTTAGGTTCTAAGTGGGGTGGGAAGTGGGCAGGGGTAGTAGAAATAAGGATGGGGCAGACATGTTCAGAACTTGAGGTACACAAAGGAAATGTAAGATATGATCCTGTCCCTTGAGCTTGGATGCTCACTGGGTGGGTAACCTAGTCACTCACCCTTTAAAAATACAAACAAACAGGGCCTCCCCGGTGGCGCAGCGGTAGAGCGCTGGGTTGCGAAGCTGCCCGCAGCCTCTGCGGCGCTGGTTCGATTCCCGGCTGCTCCCCGGCCACCGGAGGAGGGTCCCACATGGTGCGCAGACCTCTCCTGCCACCCGCTGCTCCCCTCAGCAGTGTACTTCGGTCCTTCTGCCTGTTCTGCTCCCCGCTCTGGCTCTGGTGAATTCTCTCACCCTCCCGCGCTTCTGACTGTACCCAGTGCATGTATAAACAAAACAAATGAACAAACAAATAAATAAATAAATAAAACATGCCTCTATAAAAAAAAAAAAAATACAAACAAACAAACAAACAAAAACAATAAAATGTCACATGTTATGGCTTAAGAGTTAAAGCAGAAACTACAGGTAACTATACATTTGGGCCTAGGAATGCTGACTCTGCCTTTTTTGAATTTGTTGGTGTGGGTACTTTTTCTTACAGAGTTTGTGATCCTTCGAGATGAGAAATGGGGTGGAAACAAAACCTACACAGCTTACTTGGACCTGGAAAAGGACTTTGCTGATGAGGTAAGGCCAGAGGAGGAGTGATCCCCACTGAACTGCTCTGACAAACCTCCCATCTTGGCCTAACTAGGTTTCTAGTTAGGCACCTGCAGGGTTCTGTCTTGATGTTCTGGAGCCCTGTAGATTTTGTTAATGGCCTAGATGAGGATTCAGGTGGTTCACAGATTAGAGGGGCAGATGACACAAAGCCATTACATTGATGTCTTAACTGCCTCCAAGGGACTTAATCTGGAATAAAGGACCAAACCCAACAAGATGAAGCATGTCAGGTGCATGACAGGTGCAAAATCAGGGTTCAGAAAAAGAGACATAGGGCCTCCCTGGTGGCGCAAGGGATTAAGGCGCAACCTATGAAGATGTCTGCAGCCACTGCAGCATGAGTTTGATCCCCAGCCAGGGAGCTACCCACATGGTGCAGCAGACCTCTCCTGTCTCGCCCGCTGCTCCCCTCAGCAGTGCATTTCGGTCGGTCTGCTTATTTTGTTTCCCACTCTGTGTCTGGTGAATCCTCTCACCCTCCGCACCTCTGGCCTGTACCCCAGCTCTTGTATCCATAAATAAATAAATTTTTTAAAAAGACATCACCATAATAAAGGACAGGATAGCAAATACTGTTTATTTCAACAGTTTAACAAAAGACTTATGAGGTGCCGTATGTTAGATACTGTGCTAGGGGTTGGCATTACCGAGAGGATTAAAACCTTATAGGGCTCATGGTCCAGTAGGGGTGGCAGACATATCAACAAATTATCTTTGCTGTGTTACTGTACAGTGAGGAACTATGCATGGTCCAGAAATAACATAGGAGGAAGTGGTTAACTGTCTGGGAAAGCTTTGTGGTGGGTACATCAGGACACTATTTCACTTGAGAATTAGAAGTTCATGAGGAAATCTAAGAGGGAATAAATTGTCTGAACACGATAAGGTGACATGGCATGGCATGGAAGGAACCACATACAAGAGCTGGGGTACAGTGGTTTAGTCTGACTAGAACCTACGAAGTGAGACATGGGGTCTTGTGGGGAGAGGCCGGCCAGGTCAAGAAGACATGAATGACTGGACTGCTGCTGTGTACTAGCACTGCTCACCATCCCCAGCCACGTGTGATCTCATCCTCATTCTGACTCTGAGATAAAGGTATTATTATGTGAAGAACCCGAAACTTTGAGGATTTAAGTGCCTAGTTAGCTGGGAGTCCCATAGCCAGCAGGGCCTTAGCCTTGCTCTAACTCCAGCGCCCATGCCCTTTCTTCACTCACCTCAGCTCAGCTCCCCCTGGGCTCTTTTAGCCCCCGGGTTCTGTTTGCTGCCTGTGTGCTCTTTCTCTGCCCGTGCGTGGCACCTGGCTTACACCCTACTCCAGGCATAAATGGAGGGACTAGAAAAATTTGGCTGCAGCGCTCAACTGCTAATAACCTTGAAGTTAGTGTGGAATTCAGAGTCAAAAGACTTGGATCCCAGACAAGTTAGCTAACCCTCCTGTGCTGATCTCCCCTTCTCTGCTTTATGGGGCTGTTCTGAGGATCAAGTAAAGACACGGCTGAGAAATAAGGATCAAACCTTGAATCCCATAAGCACATTATTCTGAGTAGATTCAGTGTCCCATGTCCTCCTCTATTGCTCCACCTCACCAGGCCCTTCACCCCTCTGCAGGTGGTGCACCCAGGAGACCTGAAGAACTCTGTTGACATCGCCCTGAACAAGTTGCTGGACCCCATCCGGGAGAAGTTTAACACCCCTGCACTGAAGAAACTAGCCAGTGCTGCCTACCCAGACCCCTCAAAGCAGAGTAAGCAGGCTCGGGAAGGGAAGCCAGGGAGAGGGATGACAGAATCAGAAGTCTGAGCCTCAGAAAAAGGTCTGTCTTAAACTGAGCTTTTGAGAACCAGGCAGTCTGGAGTGTGAATGGCATACCCCGGTGCCTCTTGGATTGAGTCATCTGGCTTATGATCTGGTTGAATTGTGAAGTGATTGCCTCTCTTGCACCAACACTGCTAGCAGAAGCTGCAATGAGACATGTATCCCGACCCTTCGAATCTTTTCACTAAGTCCGCCTCTTAGTTAAGGAGACTGATAGGGTTAGAGCATGAGGATGACATGCTGCTTCCATAGAGTCTGCACAGCCCCTTGGGGAAGCTCACCTTCAGACTTGCGGGGTCCCTTGCTAGTGTTTCTGACTGGCTCTGAGTTGGTCATCCACTTATCCATGATGTGAGATACTAACAGGAATAGTTTGTAAGGGGCTCCCAGCAAGATTCAATAAATGGATGGGTATGGAATGCATGAATGAAAACACCTAAAGGCGGACCTCCCTGGTGGCGCAGGGGTTAAAGACAGCGCTATCAAGCTATCGCCAGCCACTGCAGCAGGAGTTTGATCCCCGGCCAGCCAGGGAGCTGCCCACATGGCGCAGCTGACCTCTCCTGTCTCACCTGCTGCTCCCCTCAGCAGTGTATTTCAGTAGATCTGCCTGTTCTGCTCCCCACTCTGTCTCTGGTGAATCCTCTCAACTGTCCCCCACCCCCACATCTCTGGCTTACACCCCAGTTCTTGTATGCATAAATAAATCTTTAAAAAAAGAGAAAAAAAAAAACACCTAAAGGTGCAAAGCTACTACTATTGTCCCCTCAGCTCCCCTGGAGCCTAACATCTGAGGGAGACACCAGATGAAAATCTGGCCTGTCACTGCTCAAAGGCTGCTGACCCTGTTTCAAGGAAGATATAACACTTTGGAGTAGATTTTGGGGACTCTGCACGAAATTATGCTAATCTCGGTGTCCTTGTTTGGGAGAATCAGAATCAACAACTGACCTGTTGTTGGGAGGAAGGAAGGAGGAGGGAAGTTCTGACCCCTTGCATTCTTTTCATTCCCAGAGCCAGTTGCTAAAGGCCCTGCCAAGAACTCAGAACCGGAGGAAGTCATCCCATCCCGGCTGGATATCCGTGTGGGGAAAATCATTAGTGTGGAAAAGGTACTCATTTCTCACCATGTCCCAGAGAGGCAGACAGGGGTCAGGTTTGTCTGTTTCCACCTGGAGGAAACCCAGCCTGGGATGGGAAGTAACACCCCTGAGGTCACACTGCAAGTCAGAACCCAGGCATCTAATTCCAGGCTCCAGGCTTTTCCCTTTGCTGCCTCTAATGCAACCAAACACAGCCCGGAACTCAGGACAGGGGGCAGATGTTAGTCAGAGGGAACTTGTTGATCCATTAAATCCGGTCTGATGGACTTACCTGGTTCTCTCCCAACTTGTCTGGACTAGCTGTGGGTCTTATCTTGAATCAGTCACTGATCTCCATTCCCCCAGAAAAAAGTGAAGGGATAGAACTTCCTTGTCCCAGAGACTGAAAGTTATGCAACCCGTGTCCTTGGGACCATTGTTCTGGGCTTCTTTTCCTCCCGGCTTTGACTGCTTCTCACTGTATAGACCCAGCCACCAAAAGCTACCTTGAAATAGCTGCCGATGTGCTCATTTCAGGTGGCAGTAAGGCTGCACATGCGCCTTCCTCCCATCTTCAACGTGCCTAGGACTGAAACTGGTCGCAATGGTAGCCATGCAGGGCCCTACAGTCCAGGCCATTTAATCTGTTAATTTCCTTCCACCTTTTAAACAAGCAATTAAGCTTGTTTTACTCAAATCCTCTCTCTTGATTGAGAATGGAGTGTACCCTCAAGGCCCATTCTCCTGCCTGCTGCCTAGGACCTAGAGAGTTAGCTCTGGGCGGCCTGTTGAGGGCCTCTGTAGGAGGGGATGCCCCTTTCCAGAGTCGGAACATTCCATTATGTTCTCGGACTGACATTTCTTGCTGGCAGCACCCAGACGCAGACAGCCTGTATGTGGAGAAGATTGATGTGGGGGAAGCTGAGCCACGGACTGTGGTGAGCGGCCTGGTGCAGTTTGTACCCAAGGAAGAACTGCAGGACAGGCTGGTGGTGGTGCTGTGCAACCTGAAGGCTCAGAAGATGAGAGGAGTTGAGTCTCAAGGCATGCTTCTGTGCGCCTCTATGTGAGTGAGCACTCAGGGTGGGCTGCAGGACCTGGGGAGGCCAAGGAGAGTAGGGAGTTGGCCAACATGATGCCCTTCCATGCACCACATGGAAGCTCTGAAAACACTGTCCAAAAAACGATGTACAAAGGAGTAATCTATTGTATAGGTGAAGCACTTTGCCTCAAATAAATTTTATTAAAACAGAACTGGAAGGTTCAAAGCAATTGTGTACATCCCAAGTCTCAGTGCTAGTGAGAAGAAAAGCCAGGATTCAGACCGAGCTGTCATCATTGAGAAGGCCTTGCTCTCTGTTGTTTCATTCTGCCTCACCTAAAAGTCCAGATTTGGTATCTCTCCTGACATGGGATTTCAGGTTAGCTCTGGTTAACTCAGCCCTAGTGGTATCAGAGCTGCAGGGCAGTGGTAAGGACAGAGCCTTCTGGGTCTGTCACTTTTGTTTTTGTTTTTTAAATCCTGTCCAGGCCGACTTTAAAATTTCTGAGGAGTGCATTGCCCAGTGGAAGCAAACCAACTTCTGGCATTGAGGGTACCCTAAATTCCATCCAGCCACTACATAAAGGCACTAATGCTTTGGCCTCCATAGCAGCCAGAGACAGTCCATAGCTTCATCCTTGCTTTGTCTCTCGTGTCTCCCCAGAGAAGGGGAAAGCCGCAAAGTCGAGCCTCTGGATCCTCCTGCGGGCTCTGCTCCTGGTGAGCGGGTGTTTGTTAAGGGCTATGAAAAGGGCCAGCCAGACGAAGAACTGAAGCCCAAGAAGAAAGTCTTCGAGAAGTTGCAGGTATAAAAGCTGTGATTGTCCCCCTCTCACCTATGCTACCTGGACTGCACCCCCAGACTGCTCTGCTACTGAATCCAACTGTCGTTTTCCCAGCCGGGTCTTCCTGCATCTAAGCCCCTCCCTTCCTTCATTCAAGCCCTTCTGAATGAGGGAGCTGAGGAGTGTGAGGGCCTCACATGTACTGAGCACTCACAGGCTATTTGAGACACTGTATAAGGGACTTCAGACATTTCCGCCTTTGATCTTCAGTATGTGACAGGAGGCAATCACCGGATCTATCCACCCAGGCCACACAGGGTCACCAGAGTGATGGAGCTAGGATCAAAACTCTCCTAGGGTCCTCCCTGCCCACCTCAAACTTAGAGCACTTTAGCTCTTCGCCCACTCTCTGGGCATTGACTCACAAGTGAGCCTGCCCCTATGGTCCCTGAGTTCATTCATTCACTCAACCAACACTCAGTCCCATATCTATCTCAGGCACTGTCCTAGGTCTTGGCCTACATCAATAAAGTAGCAAAAATTCCCTGTCCTTGTGGAATTACCACCACGTGTGAGATTTTTCTAGTTAGTGCCTTGTTTCCTCAACCAGTGTTTCTGAAGGGCAGTGAGTGGTCCGTGCATCTCCATCTTGCATGTGGCTTTTTTTCCTTTTTTTTTTTCCTGGCTACAAAATAATTTTTTATTGTAGAAATTTATAAAATAAGAGAAATGAAGAAAATAATCCATAGTCTTGCCACTTAGAGATACTGAAAAATATCCTTAATGATTATTTCTTCTGGTCTTTAATTTTATGCTGAAAAATTTTCCATCTTCTTAAATACTGAGTGGAGATCATAATTACCATAATTTAACCAGAACCTTATGAGACATTAGGTAGTTGTTCTCAGTATTACACTATTAGAATGCCATGGTGCTCAGTTCTTTATACGCCTTCATAATTTTCTTAAACTAAATCCCTAAGTGCGCTTACCTGAGTCAAAAGATATGACCGTGTAAGCTGCTGACAAACTGCTCTCTTGGAAAACTTGCCTCCGTTTATATTAGCCCTAGTATCAAAGTCTTTGTTTTCTTGTAGTCCCACCGCTGTCACTAATCACTTTTGTTTTTGTTTTTTAAATCCTGTCCAGGCCGACTTTAAAATTTCTGAGGAGTGCATTGCCCAGTGGAAGCAAACCAACTTCATGACCAAGCTGGGGTCCATCTCCTGTAAATCACTGAAAGGGGGGAACATTAGCTAACCAACCGGGCATCTTCCTCCCTTCTCGCATCATCCTGCGTTGTCTGCTGTGTCCTTAGTTGCTCCATCCATCACCCTTTACCCATCTCCCAGGACACTGAAGCAGAACTTTGGGATCTGTTGGGTGCAAAACTCGGTAAGGGGCGCTTTAGCCTCCCCAGAACCCAGGGCCCTCCCATCTGGCTGCAGGAGAGGCTGACCTTCCAGGTAGTGACAGCGCAGCACACAGCATGGAGTCCAGCGCTGCCCTCCTCCCTTGGCAGCTGACTTGAGAAATCTGGTTTCAGTAGAATTCTTAGAAAAAGTTTATGCCACAATCCTTCTAATTGGAAAAATACTGGTTCCCAAGTTTTCCTACCATTATCCCTGCAGCTGTGCCTCTGGCTGGGATCTGAAGCTAATTACAGCTTCTCCCCAACAGGAAATTGTGGGATTTGGAAAGGAAAGGAAGGGAAAACAAAGAACCCAGTGGTCTACCAAGTGCTCGGCAGCTTTCTCCAATGCCTGCCAACCCTGAGGCTTGGCACTAGGGGGCAGGGCTTGCCCCAAGACTCCTATAACTTGCCTTGGTCCTGCCAGGTCAGGACACTCCCTCTTGCTGTTACCATCAGAAGTAAGGTGGATGGCACAGCCTGTCTCTTTCTTCACAGTGGGTGGGAACTTCTCCATAAGGCACCTCGCGGTCAGAATCACTACTCATCACTGTCATTGTCATGAATTCAAATAAAACCTCTGAACAAGATGGTCTGGATGGGTCTCTCTGTAAGCTGGGCAATTTCAGGAGAGAGGAACACAAATAGGAACCAGCTACTGGGCCCCTCACCCAGCCAGGAGCTATTCTATCTTGGACTTTTGACATTCTAATGGGGGGGAAATAAGATGGATGACATTCTAACTTTCCCTTTGGCGTTATTAAGCCAGTAAGACCCCTCTCGGGTCTAATCTTGCAGTAGGCAGAACTTTTCCCTTCTAAATGTGGGCGCAGACTATGGCCCCGTCCCTCCCCACTAAGACGCAGCAGCCACAGCCAAGATTTAAACGTTTAATTACCATCTCTGAATGAAACACAGTTCTTCTGTGTGTCTCACGCAGGCTTCAGGACAGAGGGAATGGATTGTTTGTATAGACATATCAAAGACTCAATTTAAAGAAATATATATATACTTCTCTAACATTTTTATGGAAATTAAAAATCAGGCTTTTGGTCTCTCCATTTGCACTAAGTTAAGCTCATTTACCCCAAAGAACAGTTGCCTCTTCTAGACCCTCCCTTCTCTGTACTGTCTCACCCAGTGGGGCAGCAAGCTCAAAGGGTTCTAAAAAGGAGCTACAGTGACATGGGACAGGAAAGAGCAAAGTTGGGCTCCCCCAACCTACAAGGCTGCTACCAGAGCCTGGCTTCCTAGAGGCTTTGACCTGCTGGGAGTCACCGGGGTGTGGAGGGGTAATCAAGGACTTGAGCAGAGCAGTGCTTACTGACCGTCCTCCCCGCCAACACCCTGGGCAGGCCTACACGTACCCAGCAGTGGCAGTCGCCACCTAGCAGGACACTGGTTTCTAGCTCAGGAAGAGGAGAGTGGTGAGAGGCCAGAGAAACCTGGGCGCGTGCCACATCCCCTACGTTTCCAGGTCTCTGGGAGGGAGGGGTCATCTCCTTAGTAGAAGAGAGCAACTAAAGGCGAGCTTCCTTGCCAACCTCAAACCCAAGTCACTGTTGAGAGAAAATCAAGACAGAAGGGGTGGCCCTGGGTGGCAGACACACTGCTGTAGGAGGCACTGGGGCCACCCCTGTGGGGTCATAGGAACCCATGGGGAAGCCAGTTTACTTTGCCAGGTGGCACTGGCCGAACATAGGTCTTTGAAATTCCTGGAGAATAGCAGTTAGGGGCTGATGTCTAGGGGGCAACCACCCAGTCTGCCCCCTAGGGGTACTGAGTGTCCCCTTCATTGACTAGGGAAGAGCCTAGAATAGAATGCACCTTTGGTTTCCCATCCTTGTCACTGAGCATCCATCAGCAGCCCCAGCAGAGGCACCTGTACTGACAGGCAGCTGCAGAAAGGACACGCACCAGGATGAGTAACAAAGGTCAAGAGAAAATCCATGGGGCCAGCTGTGAGCCCACCGCCCAAGTAAGCCCTCCCCGCTGCCAGCCCCTCTACCTGCCTCCTCAGGATTTCCTGCAGTGCTGAAAGGGATGCAGCTTTGCCACACTCTATGGGCGCCTGCCTCTGAAGAACTGTGCCCACTTACCCCAATTCATCAAGTGAAACAAGGGGTAGATGCTTGGCCTTGCCAAAGGCCTACTGTAGTAACTCTCTACTCTGTCCTGTTCTCTGAGGTTAGAGGGACCCCGTGGACCTCCCCCGTGGTTTTTTCTCCCCCCCCCCACCTTTTTGGGCCCTCGCAGTCTCCAAATTCTTGTCCCCTGAATGGAGCACCTGGAAGAACTGGAAGGCAGGAGGGTGGTTGGTGGTTAAATTGAGGCACAGGTAGGCTAATCCCCACTGCACCCTTTGTGCTTTGGAATTCCACAGCCCCACCTCTGTCTCCAGCCTGGAGAAGCCTGTGGGAATACAGTGACTTGCCCACCTCCAAGAACTAAGAAAAGGAACTGGACTGGAAGGAGGGAACATATGGGTCCCAGCTATGAGCTGGCACCAGGGATTGGTGCTGCTGCCATGTAAACAGGCCCTTGGAATACGGTTTCATGGGCCCCGGAGGATGGACATGCAGCCACTTTTCAAAAGTGCTTTGATTCTGGACTACACAGTATGTGCATGATTGAACATGAAAGGGGAAAAAAAAGGTGTTCTACCAACTCTGTGGCCTCAGGGCCAGCAGGGGGCGCAGCCACCACTTCCACCAGCTACCTCCTTCAAGATGAGACCAAGGCCACAGCCAGAGGTGAAGGGGTGGATGGATTCCAGAAAAGGCATGAGAGCAGGATGACTTGGAGGATAGGGTCAACACCAGGCTTGCATAAATATCAAAGGCAGAGGAGGTTAAGGCTGCAGGAATCCTCTCTCTTAGGTTGTGTCTGCCGTATCCTCTCATCCTTGGAGCTGCTCAGGTCCCTGAGATTGTATTCCTGGGATGGGTCAGCAGTGCCGGTGAGTGCCTGGTGGTCAGACCAGCTCTTTCTGTGGGTCTGTGGGGACAAAGAAGGATCACTTACCAAGAGACCTCCCGGCTTCATTCTGGCCACTAAGACCTCCAAAGCACATCCTTACCTACACTTTCCTACCATTCAGTTTACTACCCATGCAGGCAGCGCAGGTTCAGACGCTTTACAAACCTCTGCCACTAGTGCTACCACCACCCCACAATCTGCAATGAGGAACTTCAGGCTGCAATTTTTTGTCAATAAAATGGCCAAGTTCAGGCCTCCCCTGGTGGCGCAGGCAGTTGGGCGCAGCGCTGTGAAGCTGTCCACAGCCTGTGCAGCACTGGTTCGATCCCGGCCGGCCAGTGAGGGTCCCACATGGCGCAGCAGACCTCTCCTGTCATGCCTGCTGCTCCCCTCAGCAGTGTATTTCGTCAGTCTGCCTGTTCTGTTCCCTGCTCAGTCTCTGGTGAATCCTCTCACCCTTCCGTGCATCTGGCCTGTACCCCGGTTCTTGTATAAAACAAATCTTTAAAACAAAAAAAATGGCCAAGTTGGAGCTCAAGCTCAGTAGATCTGACTCCATTCATTGTAGCTCATCAGGGGTGAGAGTTCACCCTACCCAGGCATCCTGAGGTCAGAAAAGACTTAAAAGACCCAAGAGCAAAGCCCTATTGTGGGATACCCATTTCCATGTTCAGTGGAGGAACCCCTGTGGCCCACTATACCTGAGTTGGGCAGGCCCATCTTCTGCTCCTCTGAGCCCACAGGCTGCACACCTCCATTCTCAGCCAGCTCCCCCTTAGTCCTGTCCTCAACGTGAGGGAGCCCGTTGGTGGGAGGAGCAGTAAGGGGCTCAGCCCGAGGAAAGCTGGGGGAATTGGGTGAGGGGAGCCCCACAGAGGGCTTGCGGGCCACAGGTGGGGGTGCTTTAGGTGACTTCTTTGTGGCCTGGGGTGGCCGTTGCTCTGAGATATTCCGAAGTTCGGTCACCAGATTACGCTGGAGGTCAGTCGGGTTCTCTGGGGACACAGGCCACTCCAGCTGCATTTTCTTAGTGCCCTTGGAGAAGATAAAGCTGGCCGTAGAGGCAGGGGACTGGGGAGACCGTGGCTCTGCCTCAGGTGGTCCATTGGGTTGGGCACTTACAGGGCCCTCACTGGCAGCCAGGCTGGAGGCCTTGAGTCGGACGGCAGCATGGAGCCCTGAGGAGGGGGCAGTCACGGGGCTGGACCGCCCTGAGAGGGCCCTTCGTAGTGGCTTCTGGGGGGCCGCTGGCCCTGATGCTGGGGCTGAAGCCCCCGTAGGAGCACCCACAGAGCGCAGGCGTACCATCTGCAGGAGTGAGGGCGTGACCAGGGGTGCACCACCATCCTCCCTGGGAACCCCACTGCCTTTGCTGCAGCCCACAGGTTCCTTCTGAGGGAGTTTGGTCACAAGCCCTGCGACAGAACCAGGAGATGGGGTTGGTGGAGCTGGAGGAGGGTCTGGGGTACTGTGGGGCTGGATCTGGGAAGAGATGGCAGCGGAGGAAGGTGAAGCAGCCAGGGAGCTGGCAGGCTCTGGGAAGCCTGAAGGGTCTGGAGGCTCAGAGCCAGTCAGAGAGAAAAAGGTCTCCTCTGGTGGGGGGAAGTCAGCCATGGACAGGTCCTGCTCCTCGGCTGCAGGAGGCGGGGGTGGGGGCCAGTTGGGATCTGGGTGGGGCTCCTCGGCAGTCTCTGGGGCAGATGGGGCCTCCTCAGCCACCTCTGGCTTCTTAAAGGGTGGTGGGGGTGGATGATAAGAGGGAGGTGGGGATGGTGGGGGTGACTGGTCTTTGGAGGCAGTCGGGGACTGCTGTGGTAGGGCCCGGGATGTCTGGGGAGTTGCTGAGGGTGGAGACTCGGGACCAGCAGTAGCAGTAGAGACAGGCCCAGGGATCAGAGCAGAGGCAGCTGGAGCAGGGGCAGCTTGGTTAGGGCTCCTGGACTTAGAGGGGGGTGGGGAGAAGGGGGCAGGCACCTTGGGGTGAGGAGGTATGACAAACCTGTCACCCAGGGTGGTGTGTGGACCAGACCTGTCTAAGGGAGCTGGGTCGGAGGAAGAAGAACATAGAGACGTGAGGGAGGAGGAGACAGAGGCCCCAGGAGATCGAAGGGAAGTGACACGCTCTGGTTTAGGAGGCTGGGCCTTGCCTGGGGAAGCAGGGGGCCCAGCTAGACCCTTGGGAGGGAGAGTAGGGGTACCACTCTGGCTCGAGTAGCCACTGGAGGGTGACAGCGTCCGTTCTGGGGAGCGTGGGGGGCGCCGGGAACCACTTGGAGACAAGCCAGACACCCAGCTGCCTGCCGAGTTGGATGAACAGGGTGCTGCCCCCGTCCCTTCTGACCCACCAGTGGTGGGTGGCCGTGGCAGCTGTGGCTGCTGCTTCCGCTCGGGCTTTGGAGGCAACCCCAGTGGCCCATCCGGGGCCACTGAGCTCCGCTGATGGAGTGAGTAGGTCCGGCGGGGAGGGGGTGGGGCCCTCTTCATCTTACGTAGGGACACACTGCGGCCAGACAACTGCCCGCTGCTCCGAATGCTGACAGTATCTGAGGCTTCAGCAGTGCTGCCCCCACTGGGCGAGCCCCGCCCGCTGCCCCCCTGGGGAGGAGGTGCCATGGTGTTGCTAGCCACAGAGCCCTCCGGCTGGCCCTCAGAGCCGCCCTTGGAGGAGAGAGTAGAGCCGTCGGACACAATGGTGTCAGAGGACTGAGAGTGGCTCCAGGTGTCGCTGGAGGAGGATGGGTGGCGGCTGCGGGGCCACGGGCTGGAGGCCGAGGAGAAGCGGCTCAGTGAGTGGACAGAGGCAGGGCTGGAGAGCAGGCTGCAGCGACTCAGTGTGCGCACGCTGCGGCGGCCTAGCGCCACCACGTCCACAGTGGGTGGCAGCACGGCATGTGGGATCAGCTTCGACAAGTAAGTGGCCTGAGGTGAGATGGACATGGCTGGGCTCATGGGCTCTGGAGGTCCAGCCCCTCCTGTCATTCCAGGCACTGCCAGGGACATGGGCCGTGTCAGTGGCGGAGGTCGGGCCCCAGTGGACCTGCCAACGAGGGTGTCATCCCGGTAGACACGATCAATGTGGCGCTGCAGCCTGGCCTCTGCCTCAGCATCAGCCTCCGCTTCCAGAGCCTGCAGGGACACCCGGGCCCCAGACCCAGAGGCGGGGTCCTCTGGGCGGCCATCCACCGTGGGGATTCGTACAGCATCCCGTGGACCAGGAGGCCGAGGAGTACCTGGTGCTTCACGCTCATTCCGCAGGCCTAGAATGAACAGGGAGGATACGGGAGTCAGCAGAGAGGACAGCCAGGACAACCCGCCTACCACCACTGCCCTCCTAACTCCTGGCTCACCAAGCTCCTTCTGTACGTGCTGTGGCAGTCCCAGCACCGTGCTGCGCCGCTCCCGCCGCCGCCGTCCAGACTTTCCAGATTTGGGGAATGAGTCATGGGGTCGGAAGGTAGAGCCTGGGGGGCCAATCCAGGGGAGAGAAACCGTTAGAGCAGGTCTCAGGGCACGCTCTGCAGAGAACGGCTCCTGTAGGTGCTTTGTAAGAGCTCTTCTAAAAAGACCCATAGTCAAGTGGGCATGGGCAATGCTAGTTAAACAATGCCCATCGCTGCTTTTCTGTAAGGCCTCTGGAAGGCTTTACTAGGTCAATGATAATTTCCTAACAAAAAGTTATTACGTGTTAGAACGCTAAACACTTCACATTTATTCCAATGAGTACTCTTATCCTCATTTTTATAGAACATCAAACAAAAGCTCAGAGGAGAAGGGTTGGCCCAAGGTCACTCAGTTGGTAAGTAGCAAAACCAGGCTCAAACCCAGCTTTTTCCACTCTTAACTATCCTGCTTTGCAGATAATACGCATCATGAATCTCCAAGAGGACACAGAAGATGTTTCCAGAATTCACAGAATCAGAGAGTTGTGGGAACACTAGATTAGCAGGAAACAGGGGAGCTGGACCCAGAGGCTGCCCACCACCCCTTCTCTTTGCCCAGAAATCCCGAAACACCTTTGCGCTGGATCATCTCCGAGCGGATGGAGAGCGCGTCCTCTGCTGTGGAGCTCTCGGCTGTGTAGGATGTACTCTGGCTGCAGAAGGAGATGCTATCTTCATCTGGCCCGGTCCGGGAAGACTATTGGGGGAGAAAGGATCAGACCCAGGACCACCCAGAGGCCTGGGTGGAGCCTCCCACTGGCTCTTGGCATTCCCTTTTGGAACTTTTGAACTCACATGGCCCTCAGCATCACTTAGCATTCGCCAGGCAGCGGTGGGCATGACCCTGGACTAGCCCTCGGGGGTCATCTAGTCTAGCCCTTCATGACCCAGGAGGGAAACTGAGATCCAGAAGTAGTCAAAGACAGCAGGATGGAAGAGCAGAGTGGGGCCTGAGCTGGAAGTAGGGCTCACCTGGATGCTCTGGGTGTCTCCATGGTCCCAGCCACCCTTGCTCAGTTTCTGTTTTTCTGGAAGACACCAGAAAGGTGAGTTGGACTAGACCCCTGACCGCAGGGGCTAAAAGTAGCTCCGGCGGAGAGAAGAAGGTTACCTTGGTGCTGCAGGGAACGAAGCCCCTCTTGGGCCTGTGTGTGCAGCTCCTCCAGGTGAGGTGGCCGCCCACTGGGGAAGAAGACGTTGTCCTGGTGCTCATCTACTATGGACCCTGGGCCCTGGCCGGGCCCCACACTTAGGTGTTTGTCACTCTCAACCTTGGCAGAGCCTGGTGGGATGGAAGAGGAAGAGAAGTGAGGCCCAGAGGCTTCTGGGCCCTGGAGACACCCAGGCACCACACATGGGCCCCCACAGCTGCGCACAGCCCCAAGGGTACATTCAGTGTTCACTTCCCCCAATCCGCACTCACACTCCACAGTCCTGGGACATATACAAACTGTGCCCAAGAGGGTACATCTAAGTACCCACACCAAAGGCCCAGACAAGCCACCACAACCCAGGGCACATGACACCCACAGGTTGTGTATCTACCCACAAATTTCAGTGTGTACACAAACAAACAGCATGCAACTATAAATATATCGTATATATACCACAACCAGGGGCCCACACAGCACATCTGGCCCCTACCTATACAGACAACACGCACAGTTCACATCTGTACATGCACAATCAGCACCCAGACACACAACTGTGTATCCACATGTCTCTCAGGGCCGCACGCAAGACACACCAGTATACATATAACCCACAGAAAATATATTTCTCTTGTCTTCAGACCCACTTTACAGGAAAACAAACCCCCATTTACATATACCCCATGGGCCCTGGGATACTAGGAAAAAGCAGCAGGTTCCCAGGAAGTCAGGGGGTGGGGGAGGAGACAAGCCAGGAATAAGGCCCTGGGGTCCCCTACTCACCCATGCCGCTTCCCCTTAGTGGAAGGATGGTCAGGGGAGGGGAGAAGAGGGACTTGGGTCCCTCTATCCCCAGACAAAGCAACTCTAGCCTCTCTTGGGGGAACAGTCCCAGGTATCCCCCTTTTCTGGAGGCCCTGGCCCCTGGTGCAGAGGAGCCAGGGATCCATTACAAAGGATCTTGTTACAGGCCCCGCCCATGGGGGAGCTGGTCATCTAATCCTGGGGATGGGGGGCTGTGTCAGCACTTTGCAGCTTCAACCCCCAAATGGAACCCACAACACAAGCAAAAGCATGGAGTGGGTCATGTCACCTTGGCAGTACCTTGGAGGGGGTAGAAACAAAACAAGCCATTTAAAGGGCCACACCCCAGGCCCAGGCTCAAGGGTCTTCCATTCTGACACCTGCCCTTTCCTCCTTCCTCAGTCCATTCTTCAACTACCAGCACCTGCCTCCCCTCCACTGCCCTGGAATCCACAGGAACCCCATAAGGTCAGAGACACTGTCTTCCAATCCCCTGATTTTGCAAGTTGGGAAACAGCTCAAAGACAAAAGGCCCCAACATCATGTACAAATCGGTTATCAATCTCTGGCCCCAATGTCTCAGTCCAGATGGGACAGCCGAGCTCCTAGGAGAAGGAAGTGGGCAGAGGCCCCTCCCTCCCAAACTTCTCCTCCTCGGACCTCTAAACTTGATTTAGCCAATCATGCTCCCCAACTTCCAGGGGTGCTGCTTTCCTTTCCACTCTGCTCCCCACATCCCAGGCTCCCACACATCCTGACTGACCGGGGAGGGATGCCCCACCTCTGGGAATGGAGGTATTAGGATGTACCCAGCAGAGCATGCACATCCTAGAGGGAAGCCGTGTCCTCCAAAGGCTGCAGGATTCAAGGTCAGACACCTGGAGCCGCGCTCCCCAGCGAGCCCAGGCGCAGACAAAGGCAGCGGGGAACGGGCTGGACAAAGGCCTGGCAGTGCACGGCGGAGTCTGGCCTCATTACTAGCCCTTTGTCCCCACCCATTAAATTTCCCCAGCCTTGATCCCCTCTTCTACGGAAGGGTCTGGCAAGTAAGTAGTGGGATCTCTCCTCCCCACCCCAGCCACACCCACTCACCCTTCTTTTTAAAGAGCCCCAGGAGGACCGGGAGGTGGCGGCCCAGGAATACCACCATGGCTGCGGGCAGGACCGGCCCCTGCTCGATCTCTCCAGCCCGCGGCGGTGCCGTCACTGTACCCGGCACCGGGGCATGGGCGCCGCCTTGGAGCTAGCTCCGGCCGCGGGGGAGGGGCTGCTCTCCAGGTCCTCCCACCACCGGCGCCAGGATCCGCCCACGCGCCGACACAGCCCCTCATGGGGGCGCCGGGCGACCCCCCAGACTCGGAGAGGGAAACTGAGTCTGTGGCGGCTGCGCCCCGGTGGAGAGCGTAACTTAGGAGGGCCGCCGGCACTCAATTCCAGGAGCAGATTAACCCTCTTCCCGGGTCTTCTAAATAGGAGCCAGAGCTAAGGCTGGGGCCCCAGCTGCCAGATGGTAGGTGGAGGGGCCAGCAGGCCAGACCTGGCACGTGCCCACCCACAAGTCCTCCTGGGGGTGAGGGTAATTCCCGGGGGAAAGCGGCAGAAGCTCAGCACTGCCTGTGGGAATGGTAAGGCCACTGGCAGAGGCCCTGGAGGGCTGAGAGCACACCCAGGACACTACTGCGAAACCAGGACTGTCCAGAGGAATCACAGTGGCTGCAGGAACAGCCCCTCTTCTGTATATTCCAACACTTTTCAAAGGACTTTCCTCCCTCTTTGATGAGACAGCAGCAGCCCAGAGAAGCACTGTGAAGACCCTGGGGTCACACAGCAGAGGCAGGCCTTCAATGCCAACCACCTGCCCCTCCAGCCTAGGACTCTTCCTACTGGCCTCCCTCTGTGACTCGGTAACCCTGCAGTATCCCCCAGATGGAGAACAGAATTAGCCAAGATGCAGCTCATAGGTGAGGGCAGTAAGAGAGTTGCGAGGGGGTTGGGGTAGGGAGAGGTACTTGGAAATCAGGTCCAGGTTCAAATCCAGCTCCATCAAACACAAGTCATGACCTCATATGGAAACAAGGCCAACTCCTTCTTATAAGATTGTTGTATCCACTCATCCAAGCAGCAAACAGTAAGACAGTATGAGCAGCTGTAGCAAATGAGGTTTATCTGGTTGCCCAGTTACATCCCCAGTGCCTAGATCAGTGCCTGGCACATACTGGTTCAATAAATATCTGAAGGGCATGAACAGTAAACTCCCAATATAATTTACGATAGCAAAGACTGGGCCTCCCCGGTGGCACAGCGGGTTGAGCGCAGCGCTGTGAAGCTGTCCGCAGCCTCCGCAGCGCCGGTTCGATTCCCGGCCAGCCAGGGAGAATCCCACATGGTGAGGCAGACCTCGCCTGCCTCGCTTGCTGCTCCCCTCGGCAGTGCTTTCAGTCCGTCTGCCTGTTCTGCTCCCCAGCTCTGTCTCTCGTGAATACTCTCACCCTCCCACAACTCTGACCTGTACCCCTGCTCTTGTATAAATAAAAATAAAATCTTAAAAAAAAAAAAAAGATAGCACAGGAAGGGGTGCCTTATGGGGTATCAAGGAGAGCGCTCTAAGGAAAGGACCTTGGAACGGAGACCTGAAGAATAGGAGGAGTTAGCCAGGGCAGCCCTGGGATAGAGCCTCCTAGACAGGGTAGGGCAAGCATACCGGTCTTGAGGGAGGAGTGGTGGGTTTCCGGATGAGAGAGGAGGCCAGTGTGTTTGGAATGTGGCAAGCAAGGAAGAGGATGGTAAGAGGTGAGAGGAGGGCAGAAGCCAGGTCAGGTGGGGCCCCAGAGGCCTTGGCAGAGACTGGATTTTATTCAGACCCCAAGAGGTCAGTATTGAAGGTCTAAGCTAGGTAATGACAGTGTCAAAAGAGATCCCCTAGCAACTCCAAAGAGTTGCCGTGGAAGACAAGGTCTGTGACTCACCTGAGGACACCCCTTCCTTCTGAATCCTGGGGACCTAAAAATTCACAATGGCTCCTGTGCTGCAAGACCCCTCCACAGCCCTCTCTCCATGTGCTACCCCACCTCTCAGAAACCACCCGAGCAGACAGCTGAGGCTTACTCTCTGGGGAACAAGCTTCTGTCAAGCTGGATAGTACATACCCACACGTCACTGAAATTGAGACAACAATCTAGGCCCATTTTACAGGTGAGGAAATCGAGGACAGGGAGGCCAAACATTAAAAGCTGGTAAATGGGCCTTCCTGGTGGCGCAAGGGGTTAAGCACCACACTATAAAGCAATCCGCAGCCTCTGCAGCACAAGTTCGATCTCCGCTCAGCCAGAGAGAAACCCACATGGCGAAGCAGACCTCTCCCGTCTCGCCCGCTGCTCCCCTCAGCAGTGTATTTCAGTCAATCTGCCTGTTGTGTTCCCCACTCTGTCTCTGGTGAATCCTCTCACCACCCACCACCCCGCATCTCTGGCCTGTACCCCAGCTCTTGTATGCATAAATAAATAAATCTTTTTTTAAAAAAAAAGAGCTGGTAAATGATGGGGCAGCACTCACACTCAGAACAGCTTGAATCTGAAAGTCCTGTTCACTGTGCCAGCTACAAACCTGATCTCCCCTCTGAAAAAGAGCTCAGGGGGCCTGTGACTCCCACAAATTTAAGGTTTCTTGACCACATCCTTCCCTCTTCCTTCTCTTGGGCCAGACCTATCCACGCCTATCAGTCCCACTCAAACGGAAAAGAACAGGAGACCTGCACTCACAGGGTGATTCATTCATGCCAGGCCCTGTGCCAGGCACTGGTGGAAGGCAGTCTCTCTCTGTCCTCATGGTTCTTGCAACAGCCCTTCCAGGCAGATACTGGAAGATACTCTCCTGATAATTGATCATAGACCTGTGAAGCTCAGAGAGCGAGATGGCTTCCCGAGCTCTAGCTGACTCCATATTTGGACCCTTTAACCTTGCAGGACACAATTTCCCCCTAACCAGGAACACTAAGGGATCAGCATCCCCATAATCAAGAGTGGAGGAACATCAGCTCCTCCAGGGCCCACAGCTAGCGGTCTGGACCACAGCTGCAAATTCCCCTCAGATCCAAGGCTCTCACATGAGATAACATCTGGTTACCTGGCAACACCCCTCCCCCCCGCCACCCACGGCTTGGCCAGAGCCATCCCAGGCACAGGTCTACACACCTGTGGCTTGCTAGGGGGCGGGGAGTCTCAAGTGGAAGGCATGCACCTCACAAAGAAATTGAGGCTTGCAGCAGAAGGACCTTGCCCAAGGTCAGGCTTAGAGTTCATATTTCAGGACTTCTGCCCCAGAACAGTCC